TTTTGGTTTTTCTCTGGTACCGGGAACCGAACTCACGACCTTGCGCTTGCCAGGCAGGCGCTTTTGCCGCTGAGCTAAATCCCCAGCCCCAGGTAGTCTTTTTTTTTTTTTTTTTTTTGTCTTTTTGAGTTCAGGCTATGCAGTTCAGGCTGGCCTTGAGCTCACTTTGTAGCCCAGGCTGCTCTCGAACTCGCAACAATCTTCTTGCCTCAGCCTCTCTAGTGCTGGGATTACAGGTGTGCGCCACCACACCCGGCATGTAGTCTTATTGATTTTTGCAATTATTTTCGTGCCATTGGGGTCCTATTCAAGTGTTTCCTTTTGTTTCTTCTATAAGTTTCAAAGTTTTAGATCTTATACCTAGGTCTTTGATCTATTTTGAGTTGATTTTTTGTGCATAGTGATAGGTAGGGATCTAGTTTCAGTCTTCATATGTAGGTTCAGTTTCCCCAGCATCATTTGTTAAACAGCCTGTTCTTTCTCCAGTGTATGCTTTTGGCTCCTTTGATAAGAATCAGATGGCTCTAGCTGGGTGTGGTAGTGAACACCTATAATCTCAGCACTTGGGAGGTTGAGGCAGGAGGATTGCTGTAAATTCAAGGCCAACCTGAATTACATAGCAAGACTCCAAAAAAGAAAAAGAGAATCAGATGGCTCTAGTTGCATGAGTTTGTTTCTGTGTCCTCTCTTCCACTGGCCTTTCTGTCTATTTTTGTTACTATGGCTTTGTAGTATAATTTGAAATTTGCAATCAGATATTGTGATACTTTCAGCCCTGCTCTTTTTGGGTACAATTGCTTTGACTATTCTAGGTCTTTTGTGTTTCTGTATGAATTTTAGGATTTTTTTTCTAGTTCTGTGAAGAATCTCTTTAGTATTTTGATGGTGATTGCATTGAATCTGTAGGTTGTTTTTGGTAATATAGCCACTTTAACAATATTAACTCGCCCCGTCCATGAACATGGGAGGTCTTTCTATCTTTTAGTGTCTTCTTGGATTCTTTTTAATGTTCTGTAATTTTCATTGGAAAGTTTTCCTACCTTTTTGGTTAGGTTAATTCCTAGGTTATTCTTTTTTTTTCTTTTTAATAAGAGTGGTGAGAGTGGACATCCTTGTCTTGTTCCTGATGTCTTGATTTTAGAGGAAATTATTTCAGTTTTCCCTCGTTTAGTATAATGTTGCCTAGCCCCTTTTTAAGATTTTATTTTGAGACAGGGCCTTACTGAGTTGTCAAGGCTGGCCTGAAACCTGTAATCCTCTTGTTTCAACCTCCAGACTAGCTAGGATTACGAGATATGCACCACCACAACCAGCTGTAACTTTTTGTTTGGTTTTTGTTGTTTTGTTTTTGTATTTTGAGACAGGGTCTTGCTGTGTAGTTCAGGTTGGTCTTGAATTCACTCTGTAGCCCATGGTGACCTAAACTTGAAACTTGCTGCCTCCTGCATCAGCTTCCCAAGTGCTGGGGTTACAAGCATGTGCCACCACACCTGGAAACTTTTTTTATGAGTTATATATGTACATAATTTAAAGAATTGTATAGATCTGCGGGACTGATTACAAAAAGCAACCTTACTCCCTAGCCTCCACTTTTTCACCTTTAACACTTTTATTTATGTATTTATTTTCTGGTTTTTTGAGACAGAGTCTTGCTATAGAGATCAGGCTGGGCTCAAACTCATGTAGGTTAGGCTGACCTTGAACTTATGATCCTCCTGCCTCAGCCTCCTGGGTACTGGGAATACAGGTGTACATCCCCATGCTGGGCACCTTCAACTCTTTTAGAGGATTCTTTTTATATTTATGTACAAATTTCTAAATACCATGTTTTTTTTGTTGTTGTTGTTGCAGTGCTGGAGCTCAGATTCAGGGCCTTACCAAGCTAGACAAATGCTCTACCAGTGAGCTACACTCCCAGCCCCATGTCCCATGTTTTCATTACTACTTCTTAATATATCAGCTTCAGACACTACCCACTGAACTTCCATTCTGGAAGGTGAGGAATTGGTAATGTGCTGGACCCTACTTGAAGCAACTATCAAAAACTGTTTTTGCACATCTCTTTGCAAATTCACTTCCGGTTGTTTTTAGAGGACATAACATGACAGGTAGAGTGCCCATCTGCGGAAGGCATATGCACCTTGAAAATGAGCAAGCTCAAAGTAGGCTTTCCACACCCTCCCCTCATCAACCAGCTGGCTACCTAACACACCCCTTCACCTACCAGCCCCCCAGTATAACATTACAGTAATTTTGATTAAAATAATATTTATGTTATGACCCCTGTTATTCACAGCAGAGCCAGCCAGTAAGCCATGATTACTTTTTCTTTTGACATAATGTTTGCTTTCCCTGAGCTTAATAATGATCTGTCACTCTCTTTTTTAAAAAACTTGTTTTTATCTCTAATCTGACCCACATTCTTCCTGAATGATCTAAATATCTCCTGAAGACGCCCCCTTAGGGTTGTCAGTTTCATCTTCCTGGAAATACTTCATATCTGCCGCTGTCTGGCCTGGTGGCCTCTACATCCGGAGCACAGTGCCTCCCTGGAACTTCCTTTCCTCCTTGTCCTGGGGATTTCCTTGGCCTCTTTTTCCTGCCACACATCTGGTGCTTCTGGCTTCCTCTTTTTTTTTTTCACTTATTTTTTAGCTATCTCATTGATTCCTGGAAAATGATACATAGCAGGTAAAAGTTTTTGAGAACTTGCTTGTCTGAAAAATGTCTTTATTCTGCTTTCACATTTGATGGTTTGGGTAGATATATGTAATCTTTTTTTTTTTTTTTTTTTTTTTTTTTTTTTTAGTGCGGGAGGTTGAAACCAGGGCCTCCTACATGCCAGGGAAGTGCTGTGCCATATCTACTAGCTTATTTTATTTTATTTCTGAGGCAGAGTCTTGCTGCTTGCCCAGGCTGGCCTGGAACTAGTGATTCTCCTGCCTCAGCTTCCCAAGTAAATAGTATTACAAGTGTGAACTACCATGCTTGGCAGATATATATTTCTATAATAGAAACAATTTTCCTTCAAAGTTTGAGAACTTTGTTCTTTCATATTCTAGCATCCAGTGCTACTGTGGAGAAGTCCAGAGCTATTCTGACTCTTAGTCCTTTGAATGTGACCTGTTTTTTTCTCACTAGACTCTGTCTTTTTTCAGGGGGTTGTCCTAGCATTCTAAAATGTCATAATGGTGGGCTGTGGATGTAGCTCAGTGATGTACTGCATGCCTAGCAAGTGTGAGGCCCTGACTTTGATTCCTTGGTACCTGAGAGATAATACCCTGACTTTGACTTTGGTACCAAAAAAGGAGAAAAAAAGTAAAGACCAAAAAAATTTTTATGATGGTGTGTGTTAATGGAACTCTGATCATTTACTGTGCTGGATGTCTAATGAACCAGTTCAGTCTGGAAATTTAGTTCTTTTCTTTTCCTTTCCTTTCCTTTTTCCTTTCCTTTCCTTTTCTTTCCTTTCTTCTTTTTTTTTCTTTCTTCTTTCTTTTTTCTTCTTTCTTTCTTTCTTTCTTTCTTTCTTTCTTTCTTTCTTTCTTTCTTTCTTTCTTTCTTTCTTTCCTCATCTTTTTGAGACATGGTCCTGCTATGCAGTTCCAGCTGGCCTTGAACTTACTTTGTAGCCCAGGCTGCCCTTAAACTCGCCAATACTCCTGCCTCAACCTCCCGAACACTGTGATTACAGGTATACACCACCTCGCCCAATACTACTTTCGTGCCTTTAGTTCTAAGAAGTTTTGTTTGACTGGAGATGTAACTCAATAGTACAGTGCCTGGCTAGTATGCATGAGGTCCTGGGTTTGATCCACAGCACTATAGAAAAAGTTTTTTTGAATTATATCTATTTCTTTTTCATTGAACAAATATTTATTGAGTATATATGTCACAGTTGTAAGCACTGGGGTTCCATCTGTGAGCAAGACGGGCTAAAGGCCCTTTCCTCCTGGCACTTACGTTCTTTCTAATGGGTGTTGCTCACTTCTACCTGCACCTTCTAGACTGGCTCTCTACTCTTTAACCTTTCCTGTTTTTCAAGTCTTTAAGAATGTCTCAATTTTATCTTCTGTGTCCTCTATAAGGAGAGAGAGACAAGAGAGAGGAGACAGACAGACAGATAGGCTCAAGATTGAATCCAGGACCTTCCCACTCAGCTATATTCCTGAACCTTATTATTTTATTTTATTCTTTTTTAATTTTGAGACAGGGTCTCCGTAAGTCACTTGGTTGCCCAGGCTAGGCTTCAACCTTCAGTCTTCTTGCCTCAGCTTCCCAGAGTGCTGGGATCACAAGCATGATCCACTAGACCCTGGTCACAGTCTGGATATTGATGATTCCATCTCTGTGGTGTAATTTAAGTATTTCTTTAAGTTGCTCAGATCTAGAGATTTGATCAGATTCAGATTGGATTGGGGAGATCACTCTTTCACGGAGATCATTTGTCCTTGCTTTTGGAAACAAGAGCTATCTGCAGCCCTTTTTGTGTGACATGAGACCCTTTTACAGCTTTCTGTTCTTGTTTCATGAGTGTGCTGTCTTCAGTGATCTTGCTTAGGATAGTAATGCTGGTTTTCTATGAAGTAGTCTTCTCTTTGAATTTATTTCTTCTTAGGTTTTGTTTATTCTCTTTTTCTTATTTATGTTGGTTTCTTTCTTCGTGTTCATAGCTCTGGCCACAAGTATGGTAGTCCTTGGCAACTACTTTATTTATTTATTTATTTATTTATTTATTTGCAGTTCTGCGGACTGAACCCAGGGAGTGCTGAGCTACATTCCCAGCCATTCCTTTTTATTTGTTATTGTTCTGGGTTTTTTTGAAGTAGGGTCTCACTAAGTTGCCCAGGCTGGCTTCAAACTTGTGATCCTCCTGCCTCAGCCTCCTAAGTACCTGGGAATCACGTATGTGTGCCACCATGCCCATTTATCTACTCATATTTAAGAAGAGGGGGCACTGAGGCTGTTTGGAAGCTCTGTGCCCGTGAGTAAGGCTTAGCAATTTGGGCTCCATTAGAGCCCCACTGAAATGGTCTGGCTGGACTGTTGGCTGGTGGCCATCAGTGTGAGTATTGAAATCTTCCCTCCTGGCTCCTGGTGTCCAGTAGTCATAGGAGAAGCACACTGAGTATAGGGAGAGTCTCATTACATGATGTGCCCACTTGTATTCAGTCCCTTTGCCTTCAGGATGGTGTCCCCATCCACTAGGCCTGCTGTCCTGCATTAGAGACCCTCTGTTTACCCTCTCCAGAGAATCAGCTTCCAGACTTGGAGCAGGGTGTGAAAAGGGTGGTCACCTACCTGTGTGGAACTTGGAGGAGACCTGCCTGCTTCCTAAACAGACTTTGCAGCAATCCTCCCTATTTAGCTTTCCCTTTAGCCTCACTTCCAGGGGACAGCTGGGGTCAGTATTCAAGCACTTTAGGAATTTACACTGTAAATTGAAGGTTGGGCCTGGTGGTGCATGCCTGTAATCCCAGCACTCAGGAGGCTGAGGCAGGAGGATTTTTGTGAGTTCGAAACCAGCCTGCGCTCCAAAGTGAGCTCAAGGCCAGTGTGAACTGCATAGCAAGACCCTGTCTCAAAAAGACAAAAAACCAAACAAACAAAAAAACAAAAAAGCCCCACACATTGTAAATTGGATGGTTTTGGTGCTTCCCCTAGAGCTGGCTCGAGAAGACTCTACCCTCTGAGTCTTTTCTTATTTGTTCATTTGTTTTCTTGCTCCAAAATGTGGGATATTTTGCCTTCTTCCCTGCTTTGCACATTCCTTTAGGCTTCCACGTCTACAAAAGAAATACCTTTGGGGAGAGGCAGAATTAGGTGCGTGTGTTCCTGCTGGCATGAAAATGTGATGTAGTTGTCATGTTGTTTTATGGATAAAGAAGTTGGAGCTTAGAGGGATAAAGTAACGTGTCTGAAGACATAGCTTATCAGTGACGGAGTGGAGGCTGGCCCGATAAGGTGATCTTGGGCCTGGAGGACAAGGACTCCAGTGTCCCAGAGCCGTGGCACGTTGTGTTGGCAGGGCCTTTGGTGAGCAGCTGGTCCAACCCCCTCATTTCTGAGTGAGAAAGAGGAGGCCCAGAGTGGGGGGAGGGCTCTCCCAGGAGGAGAGACACTGCGTGCCACACCGCCCCTCTCTGTGACACCCTTCACTCAGTCACTGAATCAGCAGACGTTTTCCGAGCACCATCTGTGCACCAGGTCCTGGGCGTGGCCTGGGACTACAGAGTAAAACGTAGTCCTTGGCTCCAGGGGCTGTCATCTTGCTCTCTGCTGGCTTCCAGGCAGCTATGGTGCAGGTGCTGAGGAAGGGGCAGGAGCAAGCGTTGCCACGCATCAAGTACTTACTGCACGCTGAGCACTCCTGATTATTACTTTCCGTGTTTTGGTGCATTTTATCCTTACAGCCGAGGAACTTCAGCCACCAGGGCTGGAACTTGCAGCCTGACAGCTCAGAGTCCTGAGCTAAGAACCGTCATTCATGGAGGACGAAGGCAAAGGAGAACAGCAGCTGGGGTGGGAGGGAAGGAGGAGGTGGCACTGCATGAGCTACAAGAAAGGGCTGAGCTAAGTGAGCTGCCTTCTTCCTCCCGCAGTGTTCTGTGCTCCCCTCCTCTGATAAAGCCCTGACCTTCATGAAGGACCATTTCCTGATGGATGAGCAGGTGGTGGAGACACCGCTGCTGGTGAAGTCTGGTGTGGAGTACACACGGCTTGCGGTGGAGACAGCCCAGGGCCTTGATGGACACAGCCATGTGGTTATGTACCTGGGCACCTGTGAGTAAGGGGCTCCAGGATGTCCTACACAGGACTAGCATGGGGCTGCACCGCAGTGGAGGAGGGAAACCTTTGAGATCAGACACTTATTCATTTGTTCAGCAAATGTTTACTGTACCTGGTGCCTTGCTTATTTCTGAATATACAGCAGGGGAGGAAGACAGTCCAGTCCCTGCCCTTCCAGAGCTTTCAGCTTTGTGGGGTTTGGTGGGAAGTGTTTGGTGGTTTTAGGAAGAGCTGTATGGACTTTAAGCCATACAGGAGCAAGTGGGTGAAGGGAGCTGGGAACAGCAGGGTAGAGCTCACTCCTTCCAGCTGGGAAGGGGCAGAGAGGAAGGGCTGCTTGGAGGAGGGGATGGCCCAGCTGATCTGTGCTGCAGACACCAGTGCTACACAAAGAGCATCTGACGGGGAGGCCACGCAGTGAGGGGCCACAGAGGTGCCGAGGGATCTCAGCTGTCTCTCCCCACAGCCACCGGGTCCCTGCACAAGGCTGTGGTGAGCCGGGACAACAGTACTTATCTGGTGGAGGAGATCCAACTGTTCCCTGACCCTGAACCTGTTCGCAACCTGCAGCTGGCCCCCAGCCAGGTGGGAGGGGACCTGATCGTCCCTTGGTTTTCTGGTGGGACTAGCAGAGTGCTGGGGCTTTGCGAGGTGTCCTGGGGCCTCCTGACACTCATCTCTCCTCCAGGGCGCAGTGTTCGTAGGCTTCTCAGGAGGTGTCCAGAGGGTGCCCCGAGCCAATTGTAGTGTCTACGAGACCTGTGTCGACTGTGTCCTTGCCCGGGACCCCCACTGCGCCTGGAACCCTGAGTCTCGAGTCTGCTGCCTCCTGTCCACCCCTGACCAGTAAGTCCTGCATAGCAGGCGAGGAGACCTGGTGCCCTTCTTCCCTGGCTTCTGCTGCTCTCTCTCCAGGGCCCATTGATGCTCTCAGCCCAAGATCCAGCCCCCCCATGGTGGCCTTCTCCCAGCCTGGCATTTGGCTGACAGTTCTGCAGCTGCGCCAGCCCTCCAGGGTCCCCAGGCCCTTCCTCCGTCCAAGCTTGTCTTCCTGGCTTATTGTCTTCCTCTCTGCCCTCCCACACCGGCCTCCTCTCCCCACTTCTGTTGTTTCAAGGGATGATTTTTGCTCACCTTGCTTTCTCAGGAAACTCTGGAAGCAGGACATGGAGCGAGGGAACCCGGACTGGGCATGTGCCAGGGGGCCCATGGGCAGGAGCCACCGGCCTCAGAGCCGCCCCCAAATCAGTAAGTGTGGGGCTTGGGCAGCACCTCTGGGTAAGAGTGGGCACTCTTGTTCCCATGTCTTCCCCCAGTACCTGTCTACCTGAGGCTGAACCCCAGAGTTGGGATGGATCGGGTCCTGGCCAGAAGGACCCTGGGAAGAAGGAATTCTGAGCTGGGGGCTAAGCTAGGATTCAGGCTGAGGCAGAAGTGGGTTTTGGTACCAGGTTGGAGTTAGAAGGATTGGAGGTTAGTTTGGGGTTCAGTCTGACAACAGAGAAGGGATGAGCATTGAGTCTGGGAGTTGAAATGGAAGGCAGAGATGAGAGTTGAGGTCCAAATGCAGGTTAGTCATTCCCTTCCCTGTCTTCCTTCTTCCCTTCTCCTGACCGGCTTTCCTTGTCCTCTAGTTAAAGAAGTCCTGGTGGTCCCCAACTCCATCCTGGAGCTTCCCTGCCCCCACCTCTCAGCGCTGGCCTCTTACCACTGGAGTCATGGCAAGGGGACAATCCCAGAAGCCTCTTCTGCTGTCTACAATGGCTCCCTCTTGCTGTTACCCCAGGATGGGGTTGGCGGCCTGTACCAGTGCATAGCCACGGAGAATGGCTTCTCCTACCCAGTGGTCTCCTACTGGGTAGACAACCAGGACCAGCCCCTGGCCATGGATTCGGAACTGGCGGGCATTCCCCGGGAGCGCGTGCAGGTCCCACTGACCAGGGTCGGTGGCGGGGCTGCCATGGCTGCCCAGCGATCCTATTGGCCTCACTTTCTCGTTGTCACTGTCCTTCTCGCCTTAGTGCTCTCAGGAGCTCTCATCGTCCTCCTCGCCTCCCCACTGGGGGCACTCCGGGCTCGGGGCAAGGTCCAGGGCTGTGGGACCCTGCCCCCAGGGGAGAAGGCCCCCTTGAGCAGGGAGCCGTGCCTCCAGCCCCGAAAAGAAAGCCGGACCTCTGCCACTGATCTGGGTGCCGATAACAACCACCTGGGCACGGAGGTGGCTTAAACTGTGGGTGCAGGCTGGGCTTGTGAGTAGGACGTGCACCTAGCCTTGCTGGCCGTGGGCCCCAAGCCGTGCAGCCCTGACTAGCGGGGAGGAGAGTGGTGTGTATGACGACCTCCCTCCTCTGACAGGAGCTGCCGTCTGCGGCCGCCACCGATGGCACCCAGTGGGGCCCTGCATGGAGCCTTCCTCCCCATTGCGACTCCCTTCTACCAAGCACGAGGCTCTCTCATGTGGGGCGCCCCCAGACCTGTACCTGTGCTGTGACGGGAGGACCTGGAGAGGGGTCTTCCATTCTGGCCATCCCAGGAGCCCTCCAGAAATACCCTGCTCCAGAAGACCCTAAAACCCAAGTGCTGTAGGACCCCACGTAATGAAGCCCACACGGCAACAACCATAGGCTGGGACACCGCTCCTGGGAACTCACTCTGAAGGCAGCTGCTACCCTGGACACAAACACCTCCTGTCCCAGGGGCTCTAGGTCCTGCAGGGAGCTGACCCCTCTCGCTCCCCTAACTCCAGGGAGTTGTTCCTGAGCTCTGACCGCCTCCCTTCATGCTTCAGTTGGGGCGGGCTGCTTCCTTTGTCCTGACTAACGTGGCGGGGGTAGTCTGAGTCTTGTTCTCCCCTTTACCCTGGCTAGCCCCTTGACGTCTCTCCTGTCTCTTTCCCCTTGAAAACTGCTTGTCACAGAAAATTTATTTTTTATTAAAAAGACAAAAGCTTATGGATGCTGATGTTTCTGTTGGAGCGGAGTGCTCCAGCAGCGGACCGCCAGCTTGTGAGGGGAGCAAGCAGTCCAAGGCCATGCCCAGCGGAGGGAGGCTAGGTTGGGGGGTGCTCTGTGGAGCCCCTGCCTGCCTTCACTCGGGCCCCAGCACCTCCTTCTGGCAGCCTGTGCTGTGTGTGCTAGACAGCGGGCCACGCCTCATCTGCCACTACCTACCTTGCCGCGGCCCTCACAGTTGCTGTCCCCAGCTCTCCCACATTTCTCGTGACTCCAGCTCCACTCCCCCACCCACTCCAGCGGCAGTTGGTTTCAACTCTTGGCAGAAGAATTTATAAGAGCGTGCAGCCACCCCCAGCCTGGCCACATCCCACTTGGTGGCTGACACGCAAGGCTCCACTCACACTGCCACAACTACCTCCTCTACCTCCTGTCACAAAAGTACGGTCCCACCTTCCGCCAAGGCCTCCTCTCTGTCCAGCCAGGAATTTGTTCTGTAAGTTGTCTGACCTTCCGCACTTCCCCCACCTCACTTAAGCCTTCCCTTGAGCTGGGCATGGTGGTGCATGCTTGTAATCCCAGCACTCAGGAGGCTGAGGCAGGAGGATCCATGCAAGTTTAAGGCCAGCCTGGGCTACAAAGGGAGTTCAAGACCAGCCTGAACTGCATAGTAAGACCCTGTCTCAAAATGACAAAAAACAAAACAAAACAAAAAAACCTTCCCTCAGCTTTAAACTTGCCCTCCGCCTACGGATACGCTCAGGTGTTCTCTATGAGAAAATCAAACACACAGCCACCCTGCCCATAATGCTGTCCATTCCATCCAGCCCTCTTCGCCATGGGGTCTCTCTCTACCCTGTCACCACAGAGAGGCTCCATTCTGGTGTCCCCACTGCCTGCTACCCTGTTCTCTTTATTCCCCCACGCTCTGACTTCTTGCGCCCTCTGTTCTCTCTGCTCCTGTGACTCCGCTACCTGCCAGGCGCAGCCTTGACCTTTGCGTAGCTTTCACACTCCAGCCACCCTCTTCTCACAACTGTCTTTTACCACAGGTTCTTTTTAAATTTTTAGAAAATTATGGTCGCGCACACACACACACACACACACACACACACACACACACATACACACACACTATAGAATTCTCCCCAGCCGCTTTTCAGTGTACAGTTCAGTGGTGTTGACTGTGTTCACACTGGTGTGAGACGGATCTCTACAAGTGTTGCATCTTGCAAAACTGAAACTCTATACCCATTAAACGGCAAACCCTTCATTCCGCCCACTTGCCAGGCCCTGGCAAACTACCATTCTTTTTGTTTTCATGAGCTTCACTGCTCTCCATAGCTCATATAAATGGAATTATACAGTACTTGTCCTTTTATGGTCCTCCAAGTTCTCCCATGTTGTATCTTTGAATATGATTTTTTTGTATCCCCGCCCCCCCCACCAGCTAAGGATTAAACCTAGGGCCCTTGTACTCAGCTACATCCACAGATTTTTTTTCTTTCTTTTTTGAGACAGGGTCTCACTATGCAGTTCAAGCTGATTTTTTTTTTTTTTATAATTAAGTTTAGTGGTACAATTTAGATATGTATAATGATCACATTCATCATAGGGAATTTGTACCTATACATGATAGATCTTAGTTACAAGCTGATCTTGAGCTCACTATGTAGCCCAGGCTAGTCTTGAACGCATGATGATTCTCCTGCCTCAGACTGAAGAGTGCCAGCATTATAGGCATGTGCCACCACGCTGAGCTTTCTCTTCTTTCTTTTTTTTGTTTTTTGTTTTTTGTTCTTTTCTGGTACCGGGAATCGAACTCACGACCTCGAGCTTGTCTCTTTCTTTCTTTCTTTCTTTCTTCTCAACCCTCAACTGTTTTCTTTTTTCTTCTTTGGTGTTGGGAATCGAACTCACCACCTTGTGCCTGCTAGGCATGCACTGTGCTGCTGAGCTGTATCCCCAGCCCCTGATCTCTTTTCTTATTTTTTACTTTGAGACAGAGTCTTGCTAATTCTATAGGTTACCTAGGTTGAGCTCATTTCCTGACCCTCCTGCCTCAGCCTCTCAGTGCTGGGATTACAGGCATGTATCAACATGCCTGTCTCAACAGGATTTTATTATTTTTTAAAATTGAATAACATTCCATTGTTTATACCCAGATTGTCTTTATCCATTCATTGATCAATGGGTATCTGGGTTGCTTCCACCTTTGGCTATTGTGAAAAATGTTGCATGAAAATGAATGTGCAAACATGTCTTCCAGACCTGTCTCCAGTGGCTTTTCCAAAGGATTGGTCATGCGGGGCTTGGCAAGTTTGACACCAGCCCAGCAACTTAGTCCCTGTCTCAAAATAAATAAATAAGTAAATAAATATAATAATAATAAGAAGAAAGGCATCTAATTGTGGTGGCACAAGCCTGTAATCACAGTACTCTGAAAGGCTGAAGCGGGAATATCACAAGTTCAAGTCTCACCTGGACAATTTAGCAATTTAGTGAGATATTGTCTCAGAAACATAGAAAGTGCTGGGTTTGCACTCAGCACAAAGGTAGCTTGGTTGAATCCCCAACGTCACAAAAGGAATAGGAGGAAAATCTGTTTTAAAGCATTATGGATCTCACACTGCCAGCTATACAGCTCCAAAGTCAAGCTTTCTCCTAGGCTCCAGGCAGTACAAGGCAGGACAAGGCTGGCATGTTTAGCCAAGTGACCCTGCGGCTCCTTGAACCATTTCCCCATGATGGTTAATTCAGGTGTTAGATGGACTAGATTAAGGAATATCTAGAGACCTGGCAAAGCATTGCTTTTTTTTTTTTTTTTTTTTTTTTTTTTTTTTTTTTTTTTTTTTTTTTTTTTTTTTCTTTTTGAAACAGGGTCTCGCTATGCAGTTCAGGCTGACCTTGAGCTCACTTTGTAGCCCAGGCTGGCCTCTAACTCACAACAATCCTCCTGCCTCAGCCTCCCGAGTGCTGGGATTACAGGCGTGCGCCACCACGCCCTGCTCAGCATTGCTTTTGGAGTGTGTACTCTTTCAGAGGAGATGTGTTTGTGTGTGTGTGTGTGTGTGTGTGTGTGTGTGTGTGTGTGTACATGAACATATGTGTGTGAGTTGGTGAACTGAATGGGGAAGATCCATCCTCATAAGGGAACCATCCAATTTAGCTAGGGGACCAGACGGAAGAAAAAGGTAGAGAACACACTTGTAATCCCAGTTACTCAGGAGGCTGAGGCAGGAGGATTGCAAGTCTGAGACCAGCCTGTGCGATTTAGCAAGATTCTATCTTGGAAAAAATTTTTTAAATCAATAAAATAAAAAGACGGGATTTAGCATAGCACTTCCTGGATTTAATCCAATCCTCAGTACTGGAGTGTGGAGGAGAGGCACCGAAACGTATGTCTTTGTCCTTTTTTCCTCCTGTCCTCAGATACCACAACTCTAGACTCTCTGGTCTTGGGGCTTCAAAACTTACACTAGCAGCCCCAGGTTCAGAGGTTTTTGGCTTTGAACTATTAGCTGCTTTGGTTCTGAAGCATTAGGGCTTGGTTTTGTTGTTTTCATTTTGTTTTTGGGGCAGGATCTTGCTGGGTAGTTTAGGCTGGTCTTGAACTCACTATGTAGCTCAGGCTGGCTCCAAACTCTCAGTAATCCTCCTGCCTCACCCTGCTAGGTGCTGCAATCACAGGCATACACTGCCATCCCTGGCTTGAAGCTTTAGGATCTGGTCTGAGCCACACTACCAGTATTCCAGTTCTGTAGCTTCTAGGAGGCCTGTCATAGGACTTCTCATTACCACAATGATATGTCACCTCACTCTGACAAGAACAGCTATTACCAAAAAGACAAAAGGTAACAAGTGCTGGCAATGATATAGCGAAAATGTGGGGCTGGGGATTTAGCTCAGCGGCAAAGTGCCTGCCTGGCAAGCGCAAGGTCGTGAGTTCGGTTCCTGGTACCGGAGAAAAACAAAACAAAACAAAACAAAAAAAAGATATAGCGAAAGGTAACACTTGCACAGTATTGTTGGGAATGTTAGTACAGACATGGAAAACAGCGTGGGATTTCCACAAAAATTTAAAAGTAGAACTACCATATGATCCAATTATGCCACTGCTTAGTAAGTATACAAAGTAAGTGAAATCAGTATACACACTCCCATGCTTGAGAATATGACATTATTTTCAATAACCAAGAAATACCAGATGTGGCGGTTCACACCTGTAATCCCCCAGCAAGTGAGAGGCTGAGGCAGGAGGATTGCTGTGAGTTCAAGGCCAGCCTGGGCTACCTATGAGTTCAAGGCCAGCCTGAACTACATAGTGAAACTCTGTCTCAAACAGACAAACAGATGATAACAACAAACCAAGAAATAGAAACAACTAAAGTAGCTGGGTGTGGTAGCACATGCCTGTAATCTCACCACTCTGAGGTAGGAGGATTGCCAAAAGTTTGAGGCCAGTCTTGGCTACACAGTGAGTTCAAGGCCAGCCTGAATTACATAACAAGACCCTGTCTCAAACAAACATACAAACCCAGAAACCAAAACCAACCAAATTGTCCATCAACTGAAGGATGGATAAAGCAAATATGTTACAGATATACCACGTATACTACACAGCCATAAAAAAGGAAATTCTGTTGTTTGTGACACCATGAGTGGAAATGGAGATCATTACATTAAGTGAAATAAGGCCAGCACTGTAAGGTAAGTACCATACACTCTCACTCATTTGTGGAATATACAAAATTATCTTAAAGAAATCGAGAGTAGAATGGTGTTTAGCAGAGGCTGAGAAGAGCTGAGGGCAAGGAGAGGTGGGGGAAAGTTTGACCCACAGGTACTAAATTAATTAGGCAGGATTAAGAAGTCCTAATGTTCTGGCACACAAAGTGACTATAGATAACACTGTATTTTCCAAAACGCTAGGAGCAAGGATTCTGAATGTTTTCATTATAAAGAAATGATAAATGTTTGGGGAGATAGTTATGTTAAACCTGACTTAAACATTATACATGTATATATGTATTGAAATATCACATGGGACCCCATTAATACGCACACTTTTTTTAACAGTTTAGGTATAAGTCAGCAAAGTTGAAAGAAATAAAAATGGAAGAATGAAAGTATAAAATAAACAAACTTTAAAACTGTATAGGTAGGTTGGGTGTGGTGGTACACACCTGTAATACCAGCACTCAGGAGGCTGAGGTAGGAGAATCACCGAGAGTTCGAGGCCAGCCTGAGCTGCTTGGTAAGTTCAAGGCCAGCCTGGACTATGTAACGAGAGATTCTGTCTCAAAAAGGAACACACACACACACACACACACACACACACACACACACACACACACCCCAAAACAAAAAAACTATACAAAACCAGGCTCAGAACTAGACGAGGGGCTGGGGATATAGCTCAGTGGCACAAGCGCCCGCCTGGCAACGGCAAGGTCCTGAGTTCGATTCCTGATGCAAAACAAAATAAAATAAAAAAAGAGAACTAGATGAGGGCATTAATGTCCTTTTCCCCAACTCCAGGATGTCTCCTATTCCTGCTTTTTTTTCTTCAGTTACCAAACCTCAATGTAGGTTATCTTGCTCATTTGATAACCATTTTGGAGCTGGAGATTTAGCTCAGCGGCACAGCGCTTGCCTAGCAAGTACAAGATCGAGAGTTCAGTTCCCGGTACCGGAAAAAAACCGAAAAGAAAAAAGGTTGCATTTTTATGACTGCAGTCCTGTCCACTTCAATTTGACCTCTACTGTTTTAGCTTTAGAAACAATGATAAAAACTATATAAAAATGAAAGATTAGGTTTTTTTAAAAGATTAGGTTTTAATCTAAAGATTTCAACAAATCCTGAAACACAAGGTGACCCAATTTGCAACTGGATCGTCAAAAAAAGTCCCCAGTTTCCACGAATTAGACAGAGCCCAAGGAGAACACGCACGCGCTTTTAGGGATGAGGGCAGGGCGAAGCTAAAGAGGGCGTGGCAGCTGCCCTGTTCCCAGCGGCGGTCAGAGCCGTCCAACCTCGCTCCCCGGGCTGCTTGTTCCCGCCCTCCTCTGGGGCGGTAATGACAGAGTCCGGGTTTCCGGTTCCGGCAGCGCCGGGATCCGAGTCGAGATGGAGGAAGATGCGACCGGAGGCCCCCACTCGCTGCATACGGAGGGTCGAGCCGGGGCTGCGGCCTAGAGGTCCGGGCTTGGCGTGCGCCTCAGACGCGGGAGAACCGCCGGGGTCTGAGAAGGTGAGCCGTGGGTCTGGGCTGCCCGACGGCGCGGTCTCTGAAGACGGGGACCTGTCAGAAGGCAGTGGTGTCCCTGGTGCTGGGCTGCAGCGCCCTGGGACGCCGCCCTGCAGTTTAGGGACTGAAGGGCAGTCCCGGGGAGCATCTCGTCCTGGCGCAGGAGCGTGAGACTCGCTGACGGTGACGGAGCGTGGCGAGGGGTGGGTCTGGGGACCCAGCCTTGGCTGCCAGGGGCCAGGGCAGAAGGTGCATAAAGGAGAGTGTCACATGGAGTGAGTGGAGCGGCTGTCACGTGGTGTCAGTGATGCGTGATCCCGTGGTTACCTATGGGAGACCAAGGAAGGCTGGGTGGGATTCTCACCGTGTCTGAGGGAGATTACCTTGAAGGAGGGGTTGGCGGAGGCATCGCCAGGGATGTCGCATAGGGAATGTATATTCGGTAGGATTGGTGGGCAGGCATGAACATCATATATATATTCACGGTCCAGGACGCACAACCTAAATGTAAATGCAGGTGGAGGACAGAAGGAATAGAGGATACTGGTTCCATTCCTGAGTGGGATCCGTGGTTGTCTTGTCATGAATTGCAGAAGGTGTTTTTTTTTTTTTTGGACAGTCTCTCATTGTGTAGTTTAGGCTGACCTTGAACTCACTGTGTAGGCAAGGCTGGCCTTGAACTAAGGTTGATCCTCCTGCCTCAGTGTCCCAAGTGCTGGGATCATATGCGCGAGCAACCTTGCCCAGCTGGTTTAGAAGGTGCTTTGATTAGGTGGGAGTGGTTAACTGAAAAGAGTAGAATGCACCAAGAGATCATTGCTGTGCCCAGTTCCCGGGACAAGTTATGTTGGAGTCAGGACTCCCGACTCCTAGAGTAGTTGTAATTCTTTTTTTTTTTTTTTTTCCTTTTGAGGTAGGGTCCTGCTGTGCAGTTCAGGCTGGCCTTGAGCTCACTTTGTATCCTAGGCTGGTCTCAAACTCGCAACGATCCTCCTGCCTCAGACTCCTGAGTGCTGGGGTTACAGGCATGCGCCACCATACCCGGCTAGTTGTTGTAATTCTGATTTATTTATTTTTGTAGTTACAGGGATTGAATCCAGGGCCTTTACATTAGAGGTCTATACCCATAGCCCATTTATTTGTTTGTTTGTTTTTTGTCTTTTGAGAGAGGGTTTCACTATGCAGTGCAGGCAGGCCTTAAACTCACTTTGTAGCCCAGGCTGGCCTTGAAATTGCATCGATCTTCCTGCCCCAGCCTTTTGAGTGCTGGAATTACAGGTGTGCACCAAACCGCCCCCAGCCCTTTTTATTTTCTGAGGCAGGTGTCGCTAAGTTGCCCAGGCAGGACTCAAAGTTGTGATCCTCCTGCCTCAGCTTCCAGAGTGCTAGGAAACAGGTGTGTGCCCTGACACCAGGCTTGCAACTCTTACAATAGTGACAGTCCATAATAACTTTGATATGTATATAAACCATCTACAGATCTTGTTTAAAAGTTGGCTCTTATTCAGCAGATCTGTAGTTCGGCCTGAAACCCTCTATTTCTAGCTTGGGTGATACCCAGTACTGCTACCTGTGAATCATTCCATGTGGCAAAAACATGAAGTATCATGGTGAAATGGAACTTTCTGCAATAACAGAAGGGATTTCCTGTTGACAAAATGCCTTTTACAGATATTAGCTCCTATATGTTTCAGTACAAACTATCGTTTAGCCATGGCAGGCTTTATTAGCCCCATTTCACAGATGAAGAAACTGAACGTCAGTGAACTGATTTGGTTCCCGTCTTGCACTAGTAAGTAACCGAAGTGGAGCTCCAACATGGATCTCTTGATGACTGCTGCTCATTCTGTTGTCTCCCAGAATCTTATCTTAGAACCTCGTGGGATTTGTTTTCTGCAAGAAGAGAAGTGGAAAAGAGGTGTACATACCTGGGCCAATATGTCCCTTCTCATTGGAGTAGTCAGCAGTGGGAATTCTGCCTCTGACATTTTACTTTATGACTTCAGTACAGTACAAAGTGCTCTTTTTTTTGAAACAGGGTCTTGCTCTGCAGTTCAAGCCGGGCTTGAGCTCACTTTGTAGCTCAGGCTGGTCTCGAACGTGCAATAATCTTCCTGCCTCAGCCTCCCTAGTGCTGGGATTACAGGCGTGCACCACCATGCCTGGCCAAAGTGCTCTTAAACATTGGTTACTGGACAGTTTTAGAAGTGGACGAAAATCTGGAATTGGAGCCATGCATACAAACAAGAGTCTGAGAAAGGGCTATAAAGAAGTTGAACTTCTATAGTCCCAGCACTGGGAAGCTGACGCATGAGAATCAAAAGCTTGAGCCCAGCCCAGGCAATTTATTGACTTAATGAGACCTTGTTTTAAAACAAAAATTCAAAAAGGTGAATGTCACTCAATAGGAAAGCCCTATATTCAATCCCCAGTGGGATGGGAGGCAGGGCAGTTGGACTTACTGAACAGAAGGCTGAGGGAATTTTGGATACAGGTGTCTGCAAAGAGAATTTTCCAGAAGGTAAAACAAGAGGAATTGTTTTTTTAATTATTTCAGCAGGAAGTTTGAGGTTTATGTAGCAATGGGTAGTTTGAGATCCAGCCTTTCAGGAGTGTCCTTCTTTTTTTTAGAGAGCAGAGCAGGTCGGTACAGCACCTTTTGCCCTTCTGTTGTAGTGGCTGATCCTTTGAGGCATGAGGCTTGGTGGCTTCTATACTGTGACAGTGGTGACAGTTACCTGGCTCAGAGAGTTCCTACTTCTTTCTGGGAACTTCAAATACACTGGCCCATGTGAGAGATAGAATAGGGGGGAGTGGGGCCATACGTGTCACCTTAGGATTCCTCATCAGGAGATGCTAGTAGCTGGTGACTCAGCTTGACAGGTTGAAAAGGTGTCCAAGAAACCAAGTCCTGGCACAGAACCCCTCATTGCTCTGCCCTTCTGCCCTGTGTGCACAAAGTTTGCACATGCCCAGCAGGATGCCATCCTGCTTGAGCCCTGCTGTATTTGTCCTGTGACGACATGCACCCTCTCAGTCACTGAGTTCAGTTGCCCCACGAGGACACCGGGAAAGCAGAGGCAGTGATCGCTTTCTGTGCACAGAGGTGAGAGAAGTTGCTGGGCGGCCTCATGCCCAGGAGCCTGTGCTTAACCCCCGGTGACCTGTGGTCCTGAGCACATTAACTGCCTTCCACCAGTGGGAACGACTTGGCTTTCAACTGAGCTGCGTGCTTTTGTGTTGGAATCTTCAGCTCCCAAGAGTGGAAAGCAGGATGGAGGAGAGAGGTCTTGGCTTGGATTCTACTTCCACCAGTGACCAGCTTTGTGACCTTGGGCCTGTTACATTTAATCTGTCCTGTCCTCCACCTCCTCCTTTAGCAGAAGTGTTGAACGCGCACAGGTTAAATTGTAAGGATTGCAGGAGGTGGTAGGTATTGTGTAAATCCCAGTGTTTTCGTTACACGTCCTGATCTGTCTTTCCACTGTGTTGGAAACACAGTGACTACCTTCTCTTGCACGACTCAGAGATTGCCCTGCTGGCTTGGCGGCTGTCTTGGAAATCCCAGTGTTTTCGTTACACGTCCTGATCTGTCTTTCCACTGTGTTGGAAACACAGTGACTACCTTCTCTTGCACGACTCAGAGATTGCCCTGCTGGCTTGGCGGCTGTGTCTCAGGCTGAGCCCGGACAGGTATTTCACCTGTGTTCACAGCAAGCGGCACTCAGTGTTTTTGGAGCTCTGCTGCCTGCAGAGCTCTCTAGCTGATTTCTAGCTGATTTCTAGCTGATTTCCCACAGCCTTAATTTCCTACATTGACTAACCTCTGATTTCTCTTTTCCCTTGTCCAAGCCAGTGTCCTCTTGTTTTCACTTTTCATGTATTCCTCCTTCCCTTACCTGGTTTCATCCTCCGGGAAGCCTGTCTTGGTTCCCTGTGTCTCTCCCTTGTCTCAGCTCTTAGGTAGCAGTTTGCACCGTGGGTAGTCCCCTCTTTATGGAAGTGATGCAGCCAAGCTCAGGGATTCCCCAAAAGCCAGTCTTGCCTCCCCACTGATGGCCATCCAAACCGAGAGCAGTTGCCATGAAACTTCTAAGCCTGAGTTGGGCCCTCCAGCTAGGGAAGGTGGTTGAGGGTGGACTCTGAATAGACACTTGGTATTGAAGTAGGAGGGAGAAAATAAAGATGGGTAAAAGGGAGACAAGGGAAATCATAATTTCATTTATTTTATTTTATTTTATTTTATTTTATTGGTCTTTTTGAGACGGGGTCTTGCTATGGAGTTCAGGCTGACCTTGAGCTCACTTTGTAGCCCAGGCAGGCCTCGAACTCACAATGATCCTCGTGCCTCAGCCTCCCGAGTGCTGGGATTACAGGCGTGCGCCACCATGCCCAGCTGAAAATCATAATTTCCGAGTCTTCTTTTTTTTTTTTCTTTTTTTGTATGTGTGTCTTTTTGAGACAGGGTCTGCTCCGCAGTTCAGGCTGGCCTTGAGCTCACTTTGTAGTCCGGGCTGGCCTCAAACTCACAACGATCCTCCTGCCTCAGCCTCCTAAGTGCTGGGATGACAGGTGTGCACCACCATGCCCAGCAAAGTCTTATTTTTAAGAAGACTGCAACTTCAGAACAATTGACAGTTACCCAGAGTTATCCATAGCTGTACTCCCTACCTAGGCTTGTTTATGCCAGTTTTCTTCCAGGTCCATGAGACCTAAAGTCCTTTAAAGATACTCTAAGTCCATAAATTAGCTTAGTTGATAGAGAACGGGAGGAAACCTGACAAAGAAATAGATTTAGAGAGTTAAAGAATTTTTTTTTTGTCTTTTTGAGACAGGGTCTCACTATGCAGTTCAGGCTGGCCTTCAGCTCACTTTGTAGCCCAGGCTGGTCTCAAACTCGCAACGATCCTCCTGCCTCAGTCTCCTGAATGTTGGGGTTACAGGCGCGTGCCACCACACCCGGCCCTAAGAATATTTTTAAGTCAAAACATAGATCACCCACTTTCAAAACTAAAATAAAACAAATAATACACCAGGCCCTGTCTTTCTCCTATGAAATGACCTGTTATCTTTCTACCTGTGGATGGACCATCCATTTCTTTTGTAGATAATGAGGATGAAACTTCCTATAGATTCACAAATTCCTTGGGTTTCCTGTGAATTTCTCTGTAAACCTGGGAAGCCCCTGAACTCTCCCTTCCTGGAATTTAGCTTTCCACTTTTCCTGTCTGGGTGAAAATTTCCAGCATCCTACCAAACAATGGAGCACACGACATACCACTAACAATATACTAATATATGATGTCCTCTTGTTTCACATTTGGACACTGAAGCTCCTGATTTCATATGATTATTACATTAGTAAGCTTATTAGTTTTATTTGAAATTCTAGGCGATGGATAAACTTACATGTGGACCCCATGTACATCAATTTGCCCTGCTTTTTTTCCCTCTGTATCTTGTATCCGTTTCCCAGAAGGCTTGGGTGTCTCCTTAAACAACCTGTGAGGGTTTTGTTTTGTTTTGTTTTGTTTTGTTTTGTTTTGTTTTGTTTTGTACCGGGACACACAACCTCATGCTTGCAGGCAGGCACTGTGCTTGCTGAGCTATATCCCCAGCCTCCGAGTGTCCTGAAAGCAGAGTCTGTCTTCTCTGTCCCTTCTCCTACCTTCAGTCTCTAGGCCCGAGGTTGTGGTCTGTATGCTTAAGGTTGAAAGTACAGGGCCACATCTGTCCTCCACCCTGTGGTTTCCAGGCTGCACGAAAACTGTAGCTCTTAGGTGGTTCTTTTCTCTTTCTGGAGTCAGTTATCTCACCTGAAGAGGACTCTGACCTTTGGCCTGTTCCTGGCTTCCCCGCTTCTCTCCTGGAGGCTGGGCAGGTGGTAATGGTGCCCTGTGGCATGAAAGCCCCACTCACATATGTCCCCACACTGTCTTCTAATGTGGGCTGGAGAAAATGCCAGGGTAGCAAGTGTTCAGGGATCTCCGAGGGGCCAGTGTGGGAATCTAGCAGTAAGTCAGCTGGTGAGTGGTGCCAAGAGGCACCGCTGGGAGGAAAGGCCCAGGGTGGTGTATCCTCAGTGAGCCTCGGAGCCTGCAAGAACCTCCTCGATGTCATTTAGTGGGGTCACCTAGGTCCTGCCAGGTGGTCGGCTTGTCCACAGCATGCTGCACTGTGCCCGGGTGAGCCAGATAAGGAGAATGGTCCCTGCCTTGGGCTGTGCCACCATGGCCTACATGGAGAGTTTAGTGAACCTCTAAGGGGGTTAGGGAGCTGAGGTTCAAGTAGAGCCAAAGGAGTCATGGGGGGAAGAGTAGTTTATGGAGGAGGGGACCTGAGTTGGGAAGGGATTGGCCAACGGCAAAAAAGGTGGCAGAGGAATGCTTGTGTGTATGTGGCAGGAGTGGGCAGGGCCGGGTGAAGTCTAAGCTTTGGAGAGATGAGCGCCGCAGGAAATGAAGCCTGAGGAGAGGGATTTGGCATCTGGCCAGGAGGGGAGAGCACAAAGTCCTGACCCCTTTCCTCCCATCCCTGCGTCCTGCCCAAATCCAGCTCTTCAGGCGCAATGGAGGACAAACGCAACATCCAGATCATCGAGTGGGAACACCTGGACAAGAAGAAGTTCTACGTGTTTGGTGTGGCCATGACAATGATGATCCGGGTCAGTGTCTACCCGTTCACACTTATCCGCACACGACTGCAGGTTCAGAAGGGAAAGAGCCTCTACCATGGGACTTTTGATGCCTTCATCAAGATCCTGCGAGCAGATGGTGTGACTGGCCTGTACCGGGGGTTCCTGGTCAACACCTTTACCCTTATCTCTGGTCAGTGTTATGTCACCACCTATGAGCTCACCCGGAAGTTTGTGGCTGACTACAGTCAGAGCAACACAGTCAAATCACTGGTGGCTGGTGGCTCAGCCTCTCTTGTGGCCCAAAGCATCACTGTGCCCATCGACGTGGTGTCCCAGCACCTGATGATGCAGCGCAAGGGTGAGAAAATGGGCCGCTTCCAGGTGCATGGGAACCTAGAAGGACAAGGGATTGTTGCCTTTGGCCAGACTAAGGACATCATCAGGCAGATCCTGCGGGCTGACGGGCTTCGTGGCTTCTACCGAGGCTATGTGGCTTCACTGCTTACCTATATCCCAAACAGTGCTGTCTGGTGGCCCTTTTATCACTTCTATGCAGGTAAGTGGAGCCAGGAGGTCTGGGGAGGAAGGAGGTTTTAGTGATGAGGCTGACACATCATTGCTCTGTGCATGTTTGAGTGGAAGTGAGCTTTAATGGGGGGAATCTCAGCAAATGTTTGACTCCAAGGGGATTCAAAGGTAAGATGTGGTCCTTGCCTTCGAGGAGCACAGACTGTAGTGAAGGGGACAGACAAAGTAGATAGATACAGAAGAGTGCATTGCCTATATTGTGGGTGCACTGGAACCCACTTGAGGTAGCAGAATATGGACAGAGAAGTGACAGGTGTTGGGGGACAAAAGCTGTCGGATATTTGGCGCTTGAAGATACAATGATGGATAATTGTGAGCTTTTCAGCTGAACATTTTTCTTCAGCACTGTTAAACATGAGTGTGATAGAACATTAAATCTTTTGACTCTTACAGTATGTCTTGTTTTGGGTTGTTTTTTTTTTTTTTGTTTTTTTTTTTTTTTTTTTGGTACCAAGAATTGAACTCAGGACCTTGTACTTGCCAGGCAAGCACTGCACCACTGAGCTATATCCCCGGCCCAGTATGTCTTGTTAATAAGACATTTTACTCAAAATGTTTTCCAGAAGTTAGGATTAGTAGGTTAAAAGATAATGTTTTACCCTTTTTCTCTTCAGTTTTTATTTTTTATTAGTTCATGTTTGTAGTACATAACGATGACATTGCTCATGGGGAGCTGGTACCTGTATATAACACAGCTTAACTCTTTTCTCACCCCCTCCCCTCCCACTACCCTCTCTTCATCTCTTGGTTCCCTTCCCATTTGCAAATGATCCACCTCCCCCTATTTCCTGTTACTTAAAAGAATAACATTTTTTGAGGTCTCTCAATGGACATTCTGGAGGGCCAGGGGTTTAGCTCAGTGGCGCAGCACCACCCTGGCAAGTGTGAGGTCCTGAGATTGATTCCATGTACCCCCCCTCAAAAAGAAACACATTCTGCTAGATTGCCTTCTGAAAGGGCAGAGCACCTTGCGTGTGCAGAACCCGAGTAAGCCTGCTGCCCACTGCCTAGGATAACTACCTCACCCTGCTTTAGGGTGTTTATGCTTGCAACCCTTCTAAGCCAGCTGCTGCTGGCTCTTTACCTCTTGCAGTGGGCATCTGTCCTTCCAACTGACACTTTGAAATGACTTCCTC